TTCTTCCTTCTAACCCTATAGCGCTGATATACAGATTAAAAACAGTTCCTACAACAATTTCTCACCAACATATAAAAAGAGCCTTATTATATTATGAATCTATAGAAAATTTGGAAAATAACTTTAGAAACCGTTATGATTCCTCTCGTGATATAATTATTACCTTTAAAAGTCTCATTAAACCACATCAATTGAACCTAGCTTGGGCACATAACATTAACAGTTTAGTATTGAGATATGCACACATTGATACTTCTATTGATAAACTTAAATCAAGAAATAGTTTTATCGTTCAGTTTAAAGGATTCCCAAATAAAACTATACCTGTAAAAGCTTTCAGATCAATGAGACCTCATGAAGTCTGCTCTTGTTACTTTCATAATAACATTGCTTACTTTGCATTTTCAAATGAATCTGATATGTATCAAGTTTATTCAGCAAAAATTTTTCACAATGAACACAAATTGGACGGCTGACCTAGAATCCTTAGTAGATCATACAACCCTACTCAACAAAACACACTGGGTCACTCTTCCAATTTAAACAAGAGAAACAACAGACGTAACTCAGTCTCTCACAGATCAGGAGATAATATGAATGTTAATTAATATGCTTCATCTTCACACTCTACTCTCAATGGTTCTGTTGACATCACCTCAAAAGGAAAAAATAAGGATTTGTCTCATCCACCTCCTTCTAATACTAATGTTAATCCGTTGTCTGCTATACTTAATAGACTAACAGAATTAGATTCAATCAAAACCCACCTAGCCAAACTCAATGCTTAATTCTTAAATTTCTCCAATCATAATGGGGCATTTGCCTAACGCTTATAACAGTAACAGTCATACCAGATGAATCACAGATAAAGAATATTCATACTGATAACCTGAATATTCATAATAATAATATAGATGTGAAATCCTTTCTTAAAAATCAAATTTTAACATTTTACACACAAAGAAACAAATGACCAAGAAATTGGACATGGATATTTTACATATAGATAACATTAATGCTAACACAATTGTAGATGGAGATGTCATTAAATTCTCAAAACACAATGTTCTCAGTTTAGCCAAAAAGACCGATCCAATTAAATCCTCTCAAATTTTTGAACATTGCCGCCTCAACAATTTGGATTTTATCAGCTTAACTGAAATTAATCACACCAGCTCCATATTTTACAAACATAAAAATGATAATGACTATACTTCTTATTAGAGTAATTCTGACTCATACAAACTCTATGTTAGAGTTGATCTCTTAATATTGAATAAATAGGCTAAATATATTGTTCGATCTTTCTCTTCTACGTCCAGATATACTTACGTTGACTTTTTTATTAAAGGACATCTCAAACTGCATGTCTTCAGTATCTATATTCACGCAAATTATTATGACAAAACATCAGCTCACAATAAATGTATACTTCAAAAAGAAATTCTCCAGTTAGTTGACAACAGTCTTAAGAATCACTTTCACATTATCATCATGGGAGATTTTAATGTTGATATAGATTCTTACCAATAAAAACTGAATGAAAATAAACCACTGGGATGGCGTTTTTCACTAATTGAAGGTTTCTTTCATTGCAATCTCATAGATCTTCAGCAAATTAGTAATGATAATATCATACCCACCTTTTTTTCACTTAATAATATTAATAATAATAATACACATTCCGGTTCTCCTCATCGACTAGATGGCATTTTTGTCTCACCAAATTTTATGGTTGACTTCTTATATTGTGGTGTCTCAAAATCACTTTTATACAAATCTGACCATAGAATGGTTACAGCCTTCTTTGCAGCTTTTAAACCTAAACAAGAAGCCAACATTAGATGACTTAACAGTAAAAAAAGAAAGTTCTTATTCTCATCTATTGACAACCACAAATGGAACACTTTTTCAGAAAAATTGGATAAATTCTTCCAAAAAAACAGTTGAATCATTTTGATCAGCTAACCCTTCATTGGCAAACATGAATCTTCTATGGGATCAACTCAGAAACGCTATTATGACCATTACCACTAAAACTATTCCAGTTTGTTAGATTTTTACGAATCAAAAGGAACTCAAACCAAAGGAATTAGTTACTTACTATAGACAAATGAAGAAGTTAAATAAGATCATCCTAAAATTCTGAGCTTCAAGGATTAAAGCCAAAATATAACTAATATGATAAGAATAGATCGATGATTACTTCTCAGTCCACTCAATAGTGAAGGATACTAATCTTCCTATTATTAATCTTTCTGATATCTTTGACCCGTTTAATATTCAATACACTAAATGAATTCTTCTGCAACTATATCACAACCTCAAAGTTTTAGCTAGAATCGAAGAAGAATCTTTCACATGATTAAAAATTAAATATCAAATTAACCAACAATGTCTACAATATGAATCTGCTTCATGAAAAATGATTTAATCAGCTCTTGAACGTTAAAAAAAGACCATCGTTTTAGACCGTCTCCTCATTAATGATATTGATAATCACCAATTCCTCATCAATGACCTAAAGTTTATTAAGGAATACGTTAATCTTCATTTTCAAAATTTTGCTATTTCTTCTTCTCTAGTTGCATCTATCACCAGCCAATGGATTAAGCAATTCATTCCCATTGAAGATATTGATAAAGTTTGGTTTCATAACATTATACAACCTCTAATATTAAAAGAATGGATAGCTGCTGTTTCACACCTTTCTAACAATAAAGCTTCAGGACCCTCAGACAGTATTGTATAATGGATATTGTCCGCCTTATTTTAGATGGACAAGAACATATTCCAGATATGTTTAAGATTTATGTCCATTTAAATGTCCCATGATAATTTGTCTAACGGACATGTCCATATATATTTAAAACTGTTCAGGATAAATTTGTATGTTCGCCAGACATTAAAATTTTTAAGTTCAAATTTTTTTTTTACTATGCCATTTTCTTCTTTATTAGCATAATATATTATAAGAACTGAGATTAAAGTTAATAAATATAATTTAAAAACATTTTGTAAGTCATATATAGAAGTATTAGAAGAAGAAAAAGGTCGTAAAATATGGTTTCCAAATAAAAAAGATTGTATACTACTTCATTTTAAGAAATATCCTAATTTTATTAATAAAACAACTCTAGAAGAAAGAAATGAAATCTTTAAATTAAATATAACTCAAAATCTAAACAAGAGACTATGTAAATTTTAATATTTAATAATTTATAATTAGCTAAATTAATGTATTAAGCTAATTTTTTTTATAATTTCAGATTCTATATCACTATAACCTTCTTTGATTTCGTCAAATTCTTCTAATAAAATAATTATTCGATCTTCATCTTTTGGACCTATGGATAATTATATTGTCAGACCTTTATCTAAAAAGGATTTACAAAAATTTTATATATTAATACTTTGATTAATGGTTTCTTGTGGTTAGGCATTATTATGGGTTAATAATCCTGAAGCAAAGGAATTATTTAATTTTTTAAATTCTTTTCTTAAGTTACCTGATTGTCGTACTCTTGGTAGTCGAATTTTGAAATAAGATATAGCTGAAATAGATATAATAATAGATATTACACTTAAAGAAGATCCAGTTAGCATAACTTTAACATTTGATGAATAGACGAATGTAAAAAATGAGCAATTATTAGGTTCAGTTTTAATAACTTCAGAAGGAAAACCTTATGTATGGAAAGCAGTTAATATTAGTTCTGAACGTGAAAATTATGTTGAAATAATCAAAAAAACAGAATTAATACTTTCTGAATTGAAGAATAAAGAAATTACAATTTGTGCTATTGTTACTGATAGCGCATCAACATATGCGGTAACTTGGTATATTAAAATTACTTTTTTTTAATTTATGTATAATATTTTTATAATAATTTTTTTTTTATATAAGATAACAATTAAGACTTTCTAATAGATCAATTATTTTTTTATTGTGTTTTATTCACCAGATTAATCTTTGTGTAGGAGAAATTTTTAAAGAATGTGTTGAATTTAAAATAACCATTGATTGTGCAATTCGTCTTGCTGTTTATTTCAAAAATGCAAACCATAAATTTTTTATTGCTCATTTACGAGATCAGCAATATGAAACCTATCAAAAATATATTATTATATTTGTTCTAGGAAAAATGTGATGGAATAGTCTTTTTAATATGTGTACTAGCCTTTTAAAAACTCAAATGGCATTGCAAGTAAATAATATTATTCTATTATTTGGCAAATTTATTAGTATATATAATTATTAATAAAAGATATATAATATTAGATATTAGCAATTAAATATGAACCACCATTTGTTAAGCCTTGTTAATCAGATGAAATTCTAACTTTATCACGCAATATATTAATTCTACTACATTTTGGAAAAATATTGTAACAATTAGTAAAATTTTAGATTCACATTATAGACTGTTTAATATATTACAACGTGATAAAGCACATTTATTTCAAGTTCTACATAGCATGTGTTATTTAATTCAATTTTGGTTTAATCATTCAAATAATACTTTATCTACACATTTAATTAGCCGATTAGAAAAATGCTGGAAACAATGGGAGCAGCCGCTTCTTTTATTATCTTTTTTATTATATCCAGAATATAGAATGCAACAATTTAATAATATAATTCCTGGTATTAATTATATAGAATTTGGTAGATGGCTCATATATTATTATCATGCATGGTCTGAAAAAGAACCAAAATGCATTCTCCGTGAATTTGATGATTTTCAGTTGACTAAATATCTATATGATCTTGATTTATATAAGCAATTTAATGGTGATATTTGGCGTTATTAGTGTTATATTAGTGTTTCAACAAATGAACTGGGTTTTGTAGCCTATAGGATATTTGGTATATGTGTAAATGCAGCTTCTGTGAAAAGGCTTTAAAGTTGTATAGGATTTATACAATCAAAACGTCAGAATTGTTTAAAGGTATGTTAATGCTTTATTATTATATTCTAATATTCTAATTTATTTTCTTATTGTATATAGGGGTATGATACAAAATCCTGCAACACAAAATCCCAAAGATCCAAAATTCCGACAGGTTCAAAATCCCAACAGATACTAAATCCTGACAGGTCAAAATCATGATATGCTGAAAATATATTTTATTATATACTGTATATTAAATTTATAGATTAGTGAGATGTATAGAGCAGAGTAAAATCTGGTTATATTGAGAGACAAAAATTTTGAAAATTAAATTACCTTTTACTATTTTTAGCTTGGCATGTTCAATCCAATCTATCTTATCGCTAATTTATTTTTTTTGTCTCCCAGCTATTGCTTCGCATCTATTTTTAATCAATATTAAATTTATAATACACAATACAATACATTCATATTTATTCAATGAAAATGTTAAGTTTAATAAAGGATAAAGTTTTAAATGTAGATTAATTAATAGTCGAATCATATATTGCTAATCATTTGCTTATTTAATTCTACGTCTAATTTTTTTATTTTTTTTTATAGGATTCAATTGCTTTAAACTGTAATGAAAAATGTTTATTTTTTTCAATACAATAACCTTTCTTTAAAATTCAAATCAGCAAGCGATTAGCAAATAATATTTATTTCTTTTATTTGTTTTAATGTGTGTTAAATCTTCATATGATTTACGTAATTTTAGATAAACAAAAAAAATTACCATTAAAGGTTAAGTATCTTTGAAATTTAATTCAATTCAATATAAATAAAAAATCTTTCAAATAGCATGATTAAGATAACCTTCCAGTTTATTTAGGTTTCATTGAATTATATTATCCATTTACCATGTGAAATATTTCACATTTTTTTTATTTTTTAAATTTGAAAGAGTAAAATTATATTTGATTTATTAATTATCATAAACAAAATAATGATAATTATATCATAAGATTATGAGCGATCCCTCGTAAAAAATCCATCACTGAGCGGTTTTCTATATCATTAAGTATCGTCATTATTCTTGTTTCCCTCTCAATTAAGGTTTTTTTTTTGCTGGTTGTTGTTCCTCACGAATAATACTTTCAACTTGATGGTCTATACTCTGTTGTTCCTTCTATAACTCTTTGATCATCCTATATATACTTACATGACTTTGCCCAACTAAAATTTCCCAATACCAATGCCACGCTTCAACATTATTCTGTGTTCTTGGAATTTCCATCTCATTTGAATTATATACTGACCACAATTGTAGTGAAAATAAAGGAGCTGAACGAATAACAGTTTGATTGTAAAGATGATGACGTATCTTTCCATGAACATAATTTTCTTCAAACCATTGAACAACTTCATTTGCTTCTATAGGCATTTCAAGCTTTAATATATTAAATGCTTCTGGAATTTCCTGTGGTGTTAAAAAAGCCAATACAAACAAATATCGCAACATTAAACTAAATTGCTCATCATTATCATATCTAGTAGCAAGTCCGCATGATTGAATTTTTCGCCATCCAAACTGTCCTAAATGAATAAAACATCCTTTATTTACAATATTAGGAAATACATAGCGGGATACATTGATTGATGCTAACTCAAAATCAGTTAGAATGATTGGAGATTGCAAGATAAGATTTTCTGCTGCGAAGTCTATCAATTCTTCAAATAAGTTTTTGTAAATTTCTTCTGATTTACTTGTTATTAATGAATAAACAAGAGGAAGAATTTTTGAATTTTCACCACCAACAGGTGCATGAATGGTATATAATTGACGAAATACTGTTAGAACAGTTTTGAAAGTACCATCTATCAGCCAAAATGGAGCTTAAGACAAGTGCTGAATATTTGCTTGTGTAGCAAATATTAAAATTCGATCTTTTATTAAAAATGTATTACCATTTAAAGTTAAACGAAGTGAATCTTGAATATTAATTTCTTCAATAGTTTGTGGTTCAGCAGGTATTTCTGCTCTTTTAACGCATTTAATTATTGAACAAAGAGCATTAGAAGATAGCATATAGGGGTGATGCTCTTGTGACATATTGACTGTTATATCTTGAATAATTTGTACAGGTTTTTCTCTTGTTGAACGAGCTTTTTGCTTAATAGTTTTTGCAACTTCTGCATTACTAGGCTGAGGTGAGTGACTGTGTTCAACAAATTTTTTGAGATAATGGAACCTATTATAATAAGTTGTTGTTGCTCGACCCTTACAATTATCTAGTTTTCTTCTTTTACAACACCAATAATATGTGTCCTTTCATATTTATTCTTTTACCATTAAATAACCTTGAACATTTATTTTATTATTTTCTTTTTGGGATGGAACACTATCGCATATTTCAGAATTATCCATTTTTAATAAGTTTTTAGATTAAAAAATGAAAAAGCTAAGAAGTTTCATTTGAAATTAGCATTTATATTTATGCAAGAGTATATAAGGAATGATTAACTACCTTTTTTATTTTATCAAATCATGTTATGGGTTTTATGGATTTATATTATTCCAGATTATGAAAAATAGGGGAGGGTGATATTTTATTTGTAGATCTCCTTTCCGACTAGTTTAACTTTGGAAAATTAAATCCTTAATGATGATAAATTTATTATTTTATAAAATACATTTAGTATCCTGGTATGTGTTTTTTAATGAATAACTTATTTTTTGTTATTTTTGAAGTTTTTTTTTTTTGTTTATACTAATATAAAAATCTCTATCTATTACGAAACTCTTTTTGAAATAGGTTATGAGTTTTCGTAAAATAGTCAAGCATAGGTGGAGAGATATGTTAACCATACTTATAGAAATAGAAGACCTCTTGCTGGAACTTTGGCTGACAAATTAACTGCTTCTGTAAATCAAAAAAAAAGGAAAAGGATGAAATTAACTTAAAAACAATTATATGCTAAATTTTAACGAAATAATGCAGAAATTGCAAAAACTCTGGATGATATAATCATTAATAATGAATTAAAATTTGGCAGTTGGTAAACCTTCAATAAATGTTCTGGGTTTTGGTTATTTTCCTTCTTCACAACTAGTTTTTTTTTAAGAAAGGTATGTGTTTTAAATAATGATGAAGAAACTTCACTTTCGGATTTGACAAACTATCATCAAATAATTTTAATATTGTTCACTATACTAGCAAAAGCTAATGTTGATGTCTATTTGGATTAAATCTAATAATTTTTGGAACTAAATTTAGTTTAAATTTATCCAAAGACTCAACAACATTATTATTTTAGGCAGACTTCGTTAGTTTATTATTAGAGGTATTTCTATATTTATTTATTCAGGCTTGTAAATTTTTTTTTACATTAAATTATTTTTATTTTTCAAAATAAATAAATAAAATACTCTTTCTTTTTAAAAAAAAATTAATAGAATTGGTTTACGAGTAAGTGATATCTTATGATTATGTATATTTAATAAAGCTTACATTAGTTATTAGATAATTCGAAGGCACATTTAGTAAATATCATGATGATACTGTCAATTTCGTAAATAAAATTAATGAAAAACTAACCTTAAATATAGTATTTAATAAAATTTAATTAAATTTAACATTAAATAAAATAGAACAATATATATCGTACCTGTTAGGATTTTGACCTGTCGAGATTTTGGACCTGTTGGGATTTTGAACCTGTCGGGATTTTGAGTTTCAGGATTTTGAGTTTTGGGATTTGGGCCTGTTGGGAATTTGGGTTTAAGGATTTTAGACGGCACCCATATATAATCTTCTAAAGCTCTTGAAACTAGTAAATTAAGAGCTGATATCACATATAAACATCATCTTAGTAATAATACTTCTCAACCAACTTCTATCGAACCTATTTTAGATATTAGATATTAGTAATGATCAAGATTCCGATAATTCAAGAAATATTACAAATGAAAAAGTGGTAATATTAATAAAAGAAGAATATGAAATAGTACAAGATGAATTAAATAACGAAATGGATTTTCAATTGAAAAATGAGTTTAATGAATATCTTCAAAATTAGGCAGAAATGCTAGAAGGTGAAGGAATTAGCATTTTCAATAAAAATGATGATGATATTTTTGAAGATAATATTATATTATAAATAATATTGTTCCTCCTGCTGTTGACTTAAATGCTAAATGGGAATTGTTAATTCTTTTTAAAAATAAGTTAAATTTACCATTCTAATTATATTATATTTTTTTTTTCATTTATTAAATAAATTTTACTTTTGTGAAATACAATTAATTAAAAAGCTAAATATCATATATATTAATTAATATCGCGGGTTTACAGGCAAATTCAAAAGAAATTAACTTAGAAAAATATTAACAGTTCCTTCCCTCTGATCAAGAAAAGAAGAATCCAGTCTATTATACTTTAAAGGTAAATAATTTTTATTTTAGTTGTAATTTTTTAAAAAAAAATTAACATTTTTTTCCTATATGCTTACCTTTGATCAATATAAGGTATAAAGAATTTAGTCTATTATACTATAAATCTAAAGAAAAATAATTTTTATTTTAATATTTTAATTTTTATAAAAAAAAATTAACATTTTTTCCTATAGGCTTACCTTCGATCAATCTAAGGTTTGAAGATACTAATCTAAAGATACCCTATAAATAATATATATAAGGAAAGTATATAGAAATAATATGTTTAAAAAACATATAATAAACATAGAAAAATAGTATAATAAATTCATAAATATTTCTGTATACTAGATACTGAAAATCGTCTTTTCTATATGCAAAAAAATACTGAATTTATACGTCTAATCAATATAATGTATACGTAATTTTTGTTAAATTTTATACGTTAAATCAGTATATTATATACATTATTTTTGGTAAGATTTTATAGTATATTGTAAATATTTCTGTATATTAGATACTGAAAATCGTTCTTTTCTGTATGCAAAAAAAATACCTTAATTGAGAGGGAAACAAGAATAATGACGATACTTAATGATATAGAAAACCGCTCAGTGATGGATTTTTTACG